TATGTTATATTGTTTGGAAATAAAAAAAAATTAAAAATCATATTCTATCTTACGTTATGGGGTTGAATTGTTAAGCTTGACCATACCTTTCCTAACTATAACAAACATCAAAATATGGAAATAAATTTAAATATATCTTGCCATCTTTTGCACTGTGCTGTTAAAGAAAGCTGAATAATTTCACTTTCTGTCTGTGATATCATATAATAGTGGAGTCTAAATTGCTGAAGGTGGAGAATCGCTGGCGTGACGAGATTAAGTTTATATTGGGGGATATAACTTTTTAGCCTGGTTTTTATAGAAAATTTTTTTTTTATCAAAAGAAAAGCACACAAATAAATAGTTGTAATACTTAAAAAAATCAGACACTGTGTGCATCTTATAAAAAAAAAAATCAACATGTAATTATAATGAAGTGCCTTGGGGACATGACAAATACCTTGGTTTGTGACAGAAATGTTATATTTTTTTATGCTAAAAAATATTCTACTATAAAAAAATATTTTGATTCAATATAATGTCCAAAGTAAATCAAAGAAAAAGCTTTTAAAATGTAATTTTAGTCAATAACTACTAAATATGGGAAAATTTAATAATACAGAATGCCAGGAATGACCCAAATACAGTAAATGTATATTTTATTATATTACATAAAATATAGATTTTACGAAACCTGTTTAGCCTAAAATTGACAGAATAAAAAAAACTGAACAAATTATATCCCAAAATTGAGATACTAAAAATTTTTCAGTAAGATTTTGTTGGCCGCAGTAGCCAACATGACCACCAGATGACATCTAGTTTCCGTTGGTGACCATACAAGAGCGCCCCCATGTTTTAAGGAATATGAACTGTATTTTTCATATATTTGACAAAATTTGTGGACATATTCCTACTACTTTAATGGTACGTGTCTCGTAATGTGCATTGAATATGATTATTAAAACATGACAATGCCTTCCGCTTCATGGTGTCAAAAAAGTGAATGAATGAGTGTTCAAAGAGGTTCAGTTAATTTTAAAGCACATTTTTAGTTTTACATGTATGTTGTTTTTTTTTTTTTTTTTAATCTTTTTAATATTTAAGGCTTAGATACCTCAAGCTGATAGTCATCTTTTGATCAGCGTGGAGCTGTCAGTAAGCATCTGAGAACAAAAAATCAAATGACAACTAAGAAAATGGCAAGAGGGAACAATAGAATACATTTTTTACTTAAATATTTGCAAACAATAAAACAGTATAGATTATCTGACATATATGCATGAGCAAGCCACTCTGTAATAAGAAAAAAATTGTGTTAAATAGTATTAACTGGCAAATGGTCCATTCCAGATGCCTCCAAACCCAAAGAAGTTGACGTTAGGCATGGGTCGGTATAAGATTCTGATGGTATGATAACCTTGGATAAAAATTTCACGGTTTGCGGTATTTTGATTACTGCTCTAAAATATATTCTTTTTAAACGTCGGGGTAAAAGACAAAAACATTTTTTCCTTTTAAATACAATATATTTTATTTTAAGAAACATTTATAATATTTTACAACAGTAAACATGTCAGGGTAAATTATTTATTGACTTCTGCTGTCTTCATTTATTTCAAAAACAGATTTTTTTTTTCTTAAAATTTAAAACAGCATCTTTGAAGATCTTTTGTGCTGGAGAGACTGTTGTCCTAAAAAAGTCAATAAAAAAATCTTACACATACCTTAGGAACGGTATAGCAAAATTGATGATTTTAAAACCTTTTTTTTAAACTTTGAAAAAAAAAAAACTTTTTTTATAACTTGAGAACGGTTATTGTCCCATGCCTAGTTGATGATGCTTCTAGACACTGTTAACATAGGGATTCCTTTTGGCACAGTATATGTGTGCAGCACTAGCGCTGGTTACCCTTTGTGGAATGACAATACAGACACTGCCACCTGCAGATATTGAAAGATACATCCTCTTATGCAGGCACAGAACATTCTTGTTTCAGTCTGCTCTCATCACTTTGGTGTGTTCACATGCAGCTTTTTTGGTCCAGATGGTATCAGACGCTGCCAATAAGAGGCAACAAAATAGTCGGTTTTCATCCGTGCTAGTTCTTTGATGCCAGCTTGGTTTGTCCTGGGCTATTCCTGAATCGAGTCACATCAAGTCAATTCACTTTGGTATGTAGATGTGGCGCAATAGGGAAGAAAAGGCAATTAAAGGGACTTTGAATGTGGTATGGTTGTTGGTGCCAGGCAGACTGGTTTGAGTTTGAAACTGCTGGTCTACTGGGGTTTTCTTGCATAACCATCTGGTTTTAAAGAGAATGATCAGGAAAAAAATCATGGAAAGCAGTAGTGTGGGTAAAAAATGCCTTGTTGAAGTAAAAGCTCTTTGGACTTACTGTAGGGTTAGGGTTGAATGATAGAAAGACACTCAAATAATCACATGTTAAAACCAAGGCCTGCAGAAGAGCGTTTCTGAACAAATAACACCAAACTTTGATGCTGAAAGTCAAGACAGCTGATTTTCCTCCTGAGAACAACAAACTAAGGTTACAATAAATACACAGGCTCAACAAAACTGCAGAAGAAAATTGGAAAATGTTTGCCTGGTTTAATGAGTCTTAATTTCTGCAGCAACATTTAAATGATTCAAAATAGGGCTGGGCAATAAAATAAATATCAATATTTACTGACCAAACATCAATGTCAATATCGATTGAAAAAAAAAGATTCTGTATGAAGCTGAGGTTGCGTTAACCAAATATTTTCTGTCATTGACGGAAAAATCTAAAGGTGATCCATAATTTTTGACGGATTATGCTGAGGGTGATCTATTGTAATTTGTAGCTAACTGTAATTCCCACTCTTGTCCAGGTGATGGCGATTGCCCTTGTTTTGTCTCCTCTTTGTCACTGCTGCGTACAGTTGCAAAAATGTCACAGCAGCTGAATGTGAGAAGTTTTTTTAAACGGCCAAATAGTTGTAATATTAATAATAACGGTGAAAAAAGAGGAAGTGATGCAGTGGACGATGAAGAATAAACAGACAAAAATGCAATCCAACCAAGTGGCAGCCAGGAAGTCAGGTTTATTGTTTTTATATTGATGTTCTTGTGCACTACAAAATAGTTTATTCATTTTTAGTATTATTTGTTTCTTGCTGTCGATAAACTTTTATTATTATTTATTTTGTCCTTAGAAATAGAAAGTCTGCAAATGAAATGACGATCAATAATAGGTTACGATGGAAATTTTACAACCTTCTCCGTCAAAATGACGGACAATAAGAAAGTCTAACGCAACCTCTGGTATGAAGTTTCGGTATGAACGCTTTAGTTTTGTGTAGCGCATGGCGCATTTATGTAAGTAGAACTAACCAATCTGCTTCACACTTTGTATGCAATATACACATTTCAGTAATAACAGCAGACTAATTACCTCAGACAAACACAGCTCACCTAAACCATGCATCGCTTTTTACTTTTCTTCATGAACTTGCATCGAAGCTACAGCAATGATTTGTCCGTTTGTCATCCTCTTAAAAAATGCTTGATGGGTGCCTAGTTATGAGAGACGCCAGGGGAGCGCAAGCACGTAGCCCATTGTAAATGGTCAAGGAAAACACACGCACATGCTTGTCACTTCAGATCAGTATGATAACACATGCAAAAATGAGTGCTGTGTAGCAGCAGTGAGGAGATTGTAAAAAAAAAGATGATATAAGGACGTTGCCATAGTGACTTTTGGGTTTCTTTTGTTGTGCATCCTAGCCACTAGCACCCCATCTGAAAGTTTTTAGCATAGGGGGTAATATAGTCATTCAATTTCACAATTTGTAATGTTGCAGTATGTATTTAAATAATGATGTTTGTTTCTTTACTTGAAAGCTCAGATTTGATTATCATCATTTCTTTTGTTTACAGAGTTTGAGATTTACTGTATCATTATTATTCACACCTTACAGTTGTTGATCTACCTTAGTTTTTTTGATTGTTCAGTGTTCACACTTTACCCTTGCACATGCTTTGTAACATTTTATTTATCAAGTTTAAGAGTCTCTTTGACACTTATGTTGATTTATTCTAAATGGATGAGATATTTTGTTTATATATTTTGTTTTTGACTACTAAAACTATTTGCCTTAGTAATGATGGTAAATTAAAATAAAGTGGTAAAAAATCCTAATATATCTAAATGGATTGTTAAAAAATAATTATTGATGTCGAATGAATATAATATGAAATATGATATTGTGATTTTTCTATTTTTATTTTTTGCAATATTGCCTAGTGCTATTTCAGATTTTGCTGATGCAAAGTACAAAAGCCTGCCTTGTACCAACAGTTCAATCTGCCTGTGGTTTAATGGAGTGGGAGAGATTCTCTTGGCACATTTTTTGCCATTTTGGTACCAGCTGAAAATCAGTTACACTAAAAAAAAATAATTTTTGTGTTGTTCCACTTCAAAATGAGCTCAAACCCCACAATTCCTGAGATTTCATTGGGACAACTTTCATTCATTTTCTTTTCGGCTTAGTCCCTTTATTAATCTGGGGTCACCACAGCAGATTGATGCACCAATTCATCCAGCATATGTTTCACACAGCGAATGCCCTTCGAGCTGCAACACATCTCTGGGAAGCATCCATACACACTCATACACAACAGACAATTTAGCCTACCCAATTCACTTGTACCGCATGTCTTTGGACTGTGGGGGAAACCGGAGCACTCTGAGGACACCCACGCTAATGCAGGGAGAACATGCAAACTCCACACAGAAACCCCAACTGACCTAGCTGAGGCTCAAACCAGCGACCTTCTTGCTGTGAGGCGACAGCACTACCTACTGCACCACCGCCTCGCCTTGGGATGACTTAATTTTTTTATGTTCAATCCACTTAAGTTTTTTAAAAGTGTTAAATTGGGATAATTGTGAATTGTGTGGAACGCTGCATTTATTTTTACAATGCAGTGTTGTGCTGTATATTCTTAGTAGATTTATAAAACCACTCCGATGTTCATATTGGACAAAATTTATTCATAAATGATAAATCATTACATAGAGCAGTATAAAATTACATTTACATTAAGATTGTAAATAAATGTGCAATGAACAGGAAGACATTGTTGAGATGAAACTGCATCTGAACAAGTTTGGCAGCAGTTCGAGAGCTCGTACACTGAAAAAAAATAATTCACTGAATTTACTACATTTTTAAAGGTAAGTGGTTACAAATGATTTATATGGGCCGAATTTAAACAAATGAAATTAGCTGAACATTACAAAATTTAATTGGTTTAAAAATTAGGCCAAATAAATTGTTTGCAACCACTTATCTTAAACAAATTGAGTAAATACAATGAATCTTTTTTTCAGTGTATGAGCTGCATCTTTGTGCACTGCCGTCTGTCGTCTAACTCACGCTAAGCATGAGTAAATCACCAAGCACCAGTATACATTTGCATTCGTTTGTGTCGACAGCCCTTGGAGGATTTGTGCTCGGCTGTGTTTACTTTACGATGATGATGGAGGCCTCAGTGGTCTGAGTGGTCTCCTCATCTGAGTCGCTCTCCTGGCTTTCTGTGCTTTCTGTGCTCTGAGAGGAGTTGGACTCGCTGTCTGCAGCTCCCGGCGTCGATGTGGTCTCCTCACTATCCGACTCTTCTTCATTCTCCTCCTGGCTGGCACTTGCACTGGCGCTGTCGCTGGGAGAGTCCCTAGCACTTGCCCCCTCTTCTGTAGCTGCCTGGTCCCCAACGGGAACAATCTCTTGGGCTCCCAGGGCAGCCTGGCGCTCATTTGCCTCGATGTTGTCTATCTCTGAGGTGCTGGTGTTCCCGTCCTCCAGATCATGTACCTGGAGAGCCTGAGGAGCAAAAGAACAATGGTTGGGCACTTTTTTTCTGCAAGTATCAATGTGTTTTTAGTGATTTTACATTAAGTCATTTAGATGCTTTTGTTTGATTGAGGAAGCATTCAGCGAACAAAAACAAAAAGAAGCAATACACACAAGAAGTGCTAGTTATACAAAGAAACTGTTTTTGCGCAGAGAATTAAGTGCTAGAGTTGTTTTTTATTGAGAGAGAGAGAGAGAGAGAGAGAGAGAGAGAGAGAGAAAGTGTTTTTACAGGTGGTTTGTCAAGCCCACTCACCTGTGTGAAACACATTTTTTAAATGCACAGTGTTTGTGTTGGTTAATGTGTCAGGGAGATGATTGAGTGTGTTTTCTGCGGGTGGTTTGTTAAGCCCACTCACCTATGAGAGGCACGCTCAGCATTTATAGTATTTTGGGTTGGTGTGTGATGAGGTCTTGGTTCTTGGTTTTATTCATTGGGGTTTAGGTGCTCTCTGAAAAGATGGGGTTTTAGTTGTGATCCAGTCACAAGTGGTCAGTTGAGATGGATTGACACTGTCCATTAAGTGAAGTTTAATTTTAAGGTATCTTATCTGATTCTTGGAAGAAATCTGATTTCTTGGAAGAAATTGGACTTTTTTGCATTATACATACAGTATATGAGAGAGAATCATTAAGGATGGGCTAAAATGAGTTCATTCATTTGAGTGGATTTGACTACTCCCGAGCTAAAACCACTACAGTAATCTGAAACACATATTTTCAACACATTTTACAAAGATAAAGCAACCCTTCTCTTTACCTTGTACAGTGTAATCTCTTTCTCCACGTCATTGATGCTCTGATCATCATAGGCAGACGTCTTCTTGCTCACAAATGTCAAGCCGCCCAGTTTGTCACTGCTGTAGGATTTGTATGGTGAAGGAAGTTTCTCAAAGTCTTTTGCGTCCACATAGACGATGGATTTTTTGTAGTCGCTAGGGTAGCCCAAACTGTCTCCCCGGCCTGTGTTGATAATGGGACCCAGCGTGGGATCGACTGTGACTGGGATGATGGTGGTATCAGATTCTCCAGATTCACTCTCACTGGAGTCAGTCTCCTAACAGAAAACACAAATGATGGGCTACATATCGGACAATATGACATTTGTGGATTCTCTGCTACAGTAACATTGGGTAGCAACACTGTGAAATGTCACTGGTCGAAAATCCTGCTTCTTACCAAATCAAATATGTTGTCATTTACTACAGGATCCGGAATTAAAGTCTATGTAAAATCACAATTTACTATGTTTATTTTGTCCAAGTTAATTTACTGAAAAAACTGTTTTGGTAATCCTTAATCAAAGTCTAACCGCTTCCATGTTTGGAGTGGCAGTCCTTCTCTGCTTCTTCCTAGCTACAGTTTTCTTAATTGTGACCCTTATTGTAAATTGTTAGGATAGGATTTAAACATAAAAGAATCTTCGAATCATATTCACTGTGACTGTTTTGCATTCAGTCTAAATAGCCCAATTATCTGGTAATGTTCAATATATTGCCAGATTCCTTTCGGTAAATAGTCCATCTGCTCTCGTAGGGTGGAAGGAGACCACAAAAACTAATCAGTGATCAGGTGTGGTCGGGACAGTAGTTATGCTAATTGCACACAATAAAATACAATTGACCAAATACTTGTGAATTATTAGGGTAGTAAAAATAACTGTGGGAAGAAAAGCTTCTTGATTTCTTTAGTTCTGACATCAAAACATGACCTCCATTGTGTTTATTGAAGTTTACACCACTCTGTCTCCTCTTCACCAATCAGCAACATGGCGCAATATGTCTGCCGTCGAGTCATCCAAGTGGATGCTGCGCACTGGTGGTGACTGAGGAAATTCCCATCAATGTGTAAAGCGCTTTGAGTGTCCAGGAAATCGCTATGTAAATGTAAGAATTATTATTATTACCCTAACCCTATAAATGAAATTATTATTCATTTGAAGTTAGGGACTTAAGTTTACCGCGCTTGCACTTACATTATTAATTTGTGATCCTGAGCGAGAAAGCCAGTGTTATATTGCACAGGTATATTTCAGGCAAAAGCCTGAAAATTGGATTTTTCTTTCATGCCAAAACTCATTAGAATATTAACGCTCCAATGAAATTAAAATAAATGTTTGTATCAGTATTATTCATTTTCAGAACATCTATAAGCTAGTGTGCACCAAAACAGTGACAAAATTCACATTTAGAAGATATAAAACTGATATAAACATGTATAGCTCGCAGTTTGTTGCTTTCACCTAAATGGATGAGCGGTTTTACTCACGTCACCTCAGTTTCTCATCAAATCATAACCAATTAAAAGCTCTCTTCTATCTGATATGCCCCGCCAGCTTCAAGATGATTCACATTTGATGCGCTTGAGCTCAACCTCTCTCACTGGCACAGCTGTGAGAAAAACTGAATGCTATTGGCTGTTTTTTAAAGGGGAGGGGCTACACTATGTCCCGCCCTCTCTTCAAATTTCAGGTGAGATTAAGACAAACATCGAATAAAATGCACATTTTAAAGCATTTCAAGGGACCTTCAAGTAAATATCATGTTTCATGAAAAAAATCTAGTAAAATTCCTACTGTTGAACTATTTAACAAGTGCTAAGCACTTCATATAGACACCTTTAACCTCTTAAGGCCCAAGGTGTTTTTTTTTTTACATGTATTTTTTTTTTGTTCTCTTTGCTATTTGGGCTTATTGAAACCTAATTAGAATAAAAACCCAAGTATCATTTTTTGATATGATGTATCTTTAGAAAAAAATTATGTCCATATATGTGTACTGGTGGTCCGAATTTACATAAAAAACATTTTTCCAGACTGTTTTGTAATGCATATTTAACATATAAACTTTTTTGAACATGTTTTGACTATCAGAGAGTAAACACAACATATTTTTCCTTTTTGGACAGTTAAAAATATAGTGTTTGGGACATTTCATATGCTGCAAAACAGTTGCAGGATGACTGTATGTATTGTAACAAAATATAAAACATTCAAAGTATTTTAAATAGCCACTTAAAAGCTAAAATGTGCTGTCCACGTATGTGGTCACTAAGCCCTAGGAGGTTAAAGGCCATTATCATCTTGGTTATTATTATTTTGAACCCTCAGATTCCAGATTTTCAAAAGTTGTAACTTAGCCAAATATTGCTAACAAACCATTAAATCAATGGAAATTTAATTACTTTATCAATTCCTGCTTTCCATTGAACTGATAAAACAATCACAATGGCATTTGGCATTTTGATCCCTTGTTGAACTAAATCAAGGTCTTTAACAAATCCAAAGGCCAAGCAAAAGGGATTCGATCCCATGACCATAGCCTTTCTACTGGTTTTGTCTTAAACCCTTGATGAATTGAACCAAGGAATCCAAAACTAAGGTAATGGGACTCAAACTCCTGCCCTTGTATTTTCAAGGTCATCAACAAGTCCTATGGTCAAAATCATACGACTCAAACCCATAACCTTGGCACTTCAAAGTGTTTTGAAATAAAAAAAAATCATGACCTTATTTTAATTATAAAATAATAATAATAAAAAAACATGGTTTAGTAAGTATTTTAGCATAATTAGAGTCACTCACATTCTCCTCTTCCTTCTCATCTGTTTCAGATTCCTCATCTGCCTCCTGTAAATGCAAAAAAAAAAAAAAACACAGTAGTGAGGCTTACTGCAGGGTCACTTACAGTGTGTCTAGACCAGCGGAAAGGTATTTTTAGAGCCTGTTGTCTTTTATTGGCTGTTGTGGGAGTGCATTGACGTGTGATGTGGTCAGGGGATGAGTCTTCATTTACCTCAGTGTCATCTGCGCTGTCTGTGCTTTCATTCGATTCTGTTGGCGTGGTCTGAAACACAACCAAACACCTTAGAGTAAATAACACAATACTGCACAGCTTATGCATGTGGCTATTACCACATCCTTTTTTGAATAGCAATTGAAATAACTCTGAAATGCTAGCTTATATAAGCACTTTGACATTAAGAGAATAGTTCAACTTAATTACTATAATCCACCTATCATTTATTCACCCTTAAATTGTACAATGCGCTGTGACTTATCTTCGTTAGTAGAAAATATCGTTTTTTACTGACAATGCAAAAAAAAATGTAAATAAAGATGTTTAATTACTCAATTTGTAATGTTCCTACGGAATATAATAGTGATTTCATGAGGAACTGTAAGTTGTTAAAAACCTCATTTGGATCAGTTATTCGGTAAAAACCTATAATAAAAACCTTATAATTCTAAGGTGACGATATGTCCATATGTCTGAAATATTCTGAGGCAGCAGTACTGTTTTGATCTGTTGCATGAGATTCCTGCTTTTTTTCCTGCACATCAGTTAATCGGTACTCGTTACCTTTTAATGTGTGTCCTTGTCAGAAAACATCTTAAATAACCGTAAATATGGCAACTGCAATAATCAAACCCTTGGGAGCAACTGTGGTAGGAACCACAGTTCACATGACTGTGTATTTTGGACTCCTCTCAAGCGCTGGACTTCTACATTCTAATTGCTTGCGGTTATTGCTAGATCGTTTGTGGTTGCAGAGCAAGAACAAGAACAAGAATTATTTATATTATTTATTACATTTCCCATTAATTGTATTTTATTAACATCTACCCCCACCCCAACCCTTACCCAAACGTCACAATAACGTAAAAACATTAGTTGTACCGAGTATTATTTATGCTATCAATTAAATTACCCAATAAATTTTATTTTTTAACGCCCATTTCCACCTTAAACCCAACCATCACAGTACAGTAAAAATATGAATAATTGTAATGCAGCGTCATAAAAAAGCTATTATATTGATGTGCAATTCGTACTTCCAGCCGGCCCCGTATCTGATCTAGACTTTACGATTGCTTGCCGCCAAACCGCATCATAGCTCATAACCATAAAGTTAACTTGATTTCAACTCTCCTCAAAGAACACACCGATGTACACACACTTATAGCTTATCGTCACCGACTCCCATTGAAAATGAATGACTTCCAGCTACTTTGACGCTCTCGAAGCTTTTTAATGTGCTAACTGCAGTCAACTCTTCTTTTTTTTTAGATCAAAATGTGCATGTTTTGAGAGGATTTGCAGTATGTTTTTTATTTGTGTTTGCGTTGTGAGAATGTGTGCTGTCAACCCGATAAAGATATTTTTTTAATTTGCTGGTGTTTTTTCGATTTGCATGTTTTTTACGTTACATCGCGTTGAGCTCTCTTGACCACTGTACAAAGATGAATAGACAGAGGATGATAATAAAATAATAATATAGTTGTCAATATCAATCTAAGTCACAAAATGCAGATGAACATTAAAGTTGGATTCATTTATAGAATACATTTGTCCCGAATGATGACCAATAATTATCAATAATGAGTAAGCAGTGGGTGCTTGTATTAAATATTTTTAAAAAAACAGCATGTGCATTTGTACAAACATTTTACTTTTATATTTATCATTACTGCTATAAATAATTTGCATCCTAACTATTACTTTAAAAACCAAGTGCCTTTTTAAGTAATTTATTAATGGGGTTTACCTGTGTAGGCTCTACCTGGAACACATTGGCAGCAGCTTTTCGAAGAATAGGAGGTGGCTGCAGAAGAAAAATCATTTATTAAAAAAGATCTTGCGATAACAGTGCTTTTGGTAACACTTTATTTTGATGGTCCATTTGAGTATTAGTAGACTGTCAGCTTAATATCTGTTGATACTGCTCCTTTAACAGACATTTAACTGACTGTAAGAAACTTTGCAAGTGCAACTTACACTAACCCTAACCATAACAGTCTACTTGTAATCTAATGAGAATTAGTTGGCATCTAGATGCAAACCTAAATTCAACAAAAAAGATAAATAAAGTGTGTACTTTTTAAACAGTGTGGTTTCATTCTGTCCAAATCAAATCAAATACTTGCCCGTTGAACAATTACAAGCTCTTCTGAGCTCTCTGAACTGCTTGCTGAGCGCTTCACCTGAGAGAGAGAGAGAGAGAGAGAGAGAGAGAAAAGTGTATATATATGCATTAAAAAACTGAAATAAACATGTAACAAGCTTTAAAGCTAAGAACTGATTGTGAACTTACAGGTACACAGAAGACTGTGGCGACGAGGAGTGTTAAAACAATAATAGATTTCATTTTGTGTGCAAAATATTCTAAAACAGAAGAGAAACAGAGAGAGAAAAACTAAATTAGTTTTGACCTTATAAATGCATCTTTGAAAGGCTGTTAAAAGTGAAACCAGCCACTCCATGGTAGTGTCTAACATTGCATGTGCAGCTTTGCTCCAACTTTGTTCCAACTATAAACTGCCTCGAGAGTGAGTTTATTTTGGGATTTACGCATTTTAGGCAAACCGACTCGGAAGGAAGCATTCCTTTTAAGGGCATTCTGAAACATGTCGGCAATTGGCAAAGACTTCCTTCCAGTCCCCACCATGAAACATCTCATTTGTTTTCAGCTATACAGCGACATTTCAGAAAGTATAAGTTGAGGTAGTGTGTGTTTAGCTATACCTATAATGATCTACTCTGGTGTATAATTCCCAAAGTTATATGTAGACTCAGCCGCAGTCCCAAGAAATAGCACGCCTCTGGCTCCAGGCTCAGTTTCTCATTAGGATCTTCAACGCTGAGAGCCTGGGCCTGAAATTTGTGGCGTTGAAAGGAAATACGAAGTGTAGCGCCGAACACGAAGCATGTCAGTCAGCCAGTATTATTATTCTTTTGTATGGAAGTTTAATTTAGTGGTTGTGTCGCTGGAATGAGTCAGTTGACAAATTAGTGAGGCCTTTATGCGCCATAGCCGCAGCTTCCTCTTTCGTCTGTCGAGTTCATGTTAATCATCTGTGCCTATAATAAACTGCGGTTGGAAATCATTAAAAGTCTTCATAACTTCAGTCTTGTATTTACATTTAGGAGCTGGAATTGAAGAACTTATTCTGCACAGACTATTTTTAAAATAGCCCAAATGTGCCGTGAATCCCTTTTAAATTGCAAAATGTTCTACTAAACTCAAAGCTTATTCTAGCATCTGCATGCTTAAAGCGTTTTTAACATCCTGACAGATAGAAACATACTGAGAGATCGATGACTTACCTGCTCTCTCTTGGAGAAATGTGGAGATCTTTGAGGATTGACTGAGCTCCCGTTTATCAGATGGGATCCTGTTTTTGATGCAAGTGAGGGATGCCTGGCTGGCTTTTAAGCCCTGTTGCCTCTGGAAGCAGCCAATGGCAGGGGAGCTTGTGATGTCATGAGGTTTACCGCTGCTGTCCCACCTTTTTTTGCTCCCACTCTTCCTGTGGTTTAGATGGCCAGGCAATGCAAACATTCATGACAAGCAGAAAAAAAACAGATCCCGTAGTGCCCTGAGATATCATGTTGTTATTATTACCATTTAATGTATATGCAATAGAAAACCATTTCACGTCCACTTTATATGTGTTTATATTCTATTTATTTATCCTGATTTATAATATAATATAACATAATAAAATAATAAAATATAATATAATATAATATAATATAATATAATATAATATAATAAAATTTAATATAATATAATATAATATAATATAATATAATATAAAGAAATAGAGGACTATATTCTATATTTTGTATTTTGACATAATGCTTAATTTCATTGAATCCATATGCAATGGAACCATTCAACGACCACTTTAAATGCATATTATATTATATTATATTATATTATATTATATTATATTATATTATATTATATTATATTATATTATATTATATTATATTATATTATATTATAAATCAGGATAAGTAAAAAATATAATATAATATTATATATATATATATATATATATATATATATATATATATATATATATATTTTTTTTTTATATTTATATAAATATATTTTTATATTTATATAAATATATATAAATATATAAATATAGGGTGATGCGGTGGCACAGTAGATAGTGCTGTCGCCTCACAGCAAGAAGGTCGCTGATTAGAGTCTTGGCTGGATCAGTTGGTGTTTCCGTGTGGAGTTTGCATGTTCTCCCCCCGTTCGCGTGGGTTTCCTCCAGGTGCCCAGTTTCCCCCACAGTCCAAAGATATGCGGTACATGTGAATTGGGTAGGCGAAATTGTTCGTAGTGTATGTTTGTAGTGTGAATGAATGTGTATGGATGTTTCCTAGAGATGGGTTGCAGGTGGAAGGGCATCCGCTGCGTAAAACAAATGCTGGATAAATAAGATTGTGATGAATAAGTCCCTCTATTAATCTGGGGGTGCTACAGCTGAATCAACCACCAACTTATCCAGCATATGTTTAACACAGTGGATGCCCTACTAGCTGCAACCCATCACTGGGAAACATCCATACAAATTCACTCACATACATACATTTACCCAATTCACCTATACCACATGTTTTTTGAACTTGTGGGGGAAACCGGAGCACCCTGAGTAAAGCCCACAAGGCTCGAACCAGTGACCTTCTTGCTGTGAGGCAATTGTGCTACCCACTGCACCACCGTGCTGCCCCTCCCAAACATCACAAACACAAAAACACAAACACAGATCACAAACAAAATCTTCCTGCACCACAGATTCCCAACACACAACCCTGGCTATAACTCCACAAAATAACATACAAACTACTTGGTCATTTATTCAATATGGAAATAGCAAACTGTAAAAAAGATTTCTTAAAAATGTTTGTTTTTGCTGTGGGTGTATCGTCTACCAGAAGGAACCTTTTCAAATTCATGATAAAGAGGATAACTTGAGTCCTGAACTATGTGTAAGGCTTTCCGCCTGGTCTGGTTTATATACAGTTCCACAAGCTGCTTCTGGGGGTCCAATATGATCTCATTAGCTGTGTTAACAATCTTTGCAAGTTTATTCTTGCTTCAAGCAAGATTTCCATACCAAGAAATGTCATAGGAGATAATGGTCACACTTTACAATAAGGTTCATTAGTTAATGTTAAGTAATGCATTTACTAGCATGAACAAACAATGAACAATACATTTAGTACTGTATTTGTTCATGTTAATAAATGTTAGTTAATGAAAATACAGCTGTTCATTGTTAGTTCATGTTAACTCGGTGCATTAACTAATGTTAACAAGCATGGACTTAAATGTTAATAATGCATTAGTAAATGTTCAATTATGATTAATAAATGCTTTACAAGTGTTGTTCATGATTAGTTCATGTTAGTAAATGCATTAACTAATGAACCTCATTATAAAGTGTTACCGAGATAATGCTGGCGCTTTAACCACAGATTTTCAGCTTTGCCTTTTCACAATACTAAATAAACGGTTCTGAATGTGTACCTTATGTAATGTGATGTGTTTAATTAAAATATAATTTTGTTTTATTTTTCTTAGTAATAAACATGCTCTTACACTATACTGTAGGCTATGTTTTAGAAACGATACATGCTGAGAAGTATAGCCTTATTCTGCAAAAAGCAAATATAAGAATTAAATTTTTTAGTCTTTATAGTGCCCTATTAAATTGTGTGAGTTGAAAAGATTGTTTCGATTTCTTTGACCACCAAGGCAATGTTCTTACCTCAAATCTTAAAAGTGCGCATATGAAAACCCCAGCACAGCACACACTAAAAAATAATATTAAGATTATCGTGCCAGCGGAGCACATCGCCTGATTGTTATATAACTTACTTTATCAGTAGGCTATTTATTATTTATTACAGGCTATGTTAAAAATATTTGGCCAAGTGCCACTTCATGTAAAACACTCACATGCACTCTCGACGAGTGGCAGTTATGAATTAAATAAATGGGCATATCTGCACGCAAATTGAGCCGCATATTATTTATCGTCTGTTCATTTTTTTTCACATGCATGCAGAGAAAGAAAAAAAGTCCACTAATGTATAATACTACTACTACTACTACTACTACTACTAATAATAATAATAATAATAATAATAATAAGCTAATACTGTATATCCATAATGCCAGGATGTGTGGTGCTTTGACTGAATATCTAGATCAAAAGCAAAATTGTTACCTGTTGCACGACATAGGATAGCCTATAGTGTGGAAAAATATAATTCACAACCTGGGATGTGTTTCCCAAAACCATAGCAACTAAGGTCGCAAGTTCCGTAGCTAGTTACAAAAATAGTTCGTTGATTTGCTGTTTCCCAAAACCATCGTTTCAACGAACATTCGCAAACTTGAGCATTTGCAACTATAACTCTGGAGCTGTAAAAAACATAGTTCCTGGCTGTGTTGTATGATGCAGTTATTGACGTTATGTGAGAGTATAATTGTTATTGATTTGTGATTGTAAGCAGAGTGGCCTAGGAACTCATTGCGAGTGTTGGAGCTGGCTTCTGCTGATGAAACTGCAAACTATCTTCAATAAACTTTATTTTATTTATTTGAATCTCTGACTTCGGCTCTTCTTTATCTGACAGACTGGTCATTCTTTGGGTTTAAACTGTAATTCAAGAGTTCACAATTAGTTGATGATTGTTAATAGGCTGGTTTGGAGAGAGCCCCGAGCTCATGAAATCCTTGAACCCGGAGCTCCCTCCCATTGCAGGGCGAGAGGGGAGTTTGAACTCTGGCAGATCTCGAGAACCCCCCCTCGGTGATGTGTTGCTAACAGAATTGAATTTGTTGCTAATTTGGTTTAGTCAATTTACTTAAGTCTCATGTTTTTGGGAGTGTGGGAGGAAACCGGAGAGAACATGAACTCCATACGAAAATGCTGTCCGGTTGGGTGGATACCCGCCGTGCTGCCCTATAGAAAAAGAGGAGGAGAAGGGGTGGAAAGGGGGATTCTTCAAGACGAAGATGACTAAAGGTAAGATGTTTGGTTATTTATACTGGGTTAGGAATAGTCTGATTGGTGGTTCTTACATTAGCTTGACTCTGGGCCAGCCGTGTCAATCATAAGCACGTGATCCTCTCGAAATTAGTTTATGAATAAACTTCACATAATCCCCACAAAGCCTTCCTCAGAACACTCTTACTAACATTAAAACTATTTAATTTCCTTCAAAGAAAGTGTCTCTGTTTTGCTTTGTTATAGATGTAGTCTGCGTGTTCAAAATAACCCTTAAGTACTAGGGATTATTGAGTGTATATCTGCATTATGTATAGTATTGTCTTGCTTACTGTTTTCATGTTAATTATCATTAACATATAATGCATATTGGATAAGACTCCATTTAGGTTGTTACATAATAAAAACAAGTAAAAAAAGTCGAATTAAATTAAAAATATAAATGGAAAAAAAACATTGTATGTTGACATACAGTATTGCATGTTGTCAATATGCAACGAAAAGACTTCATGGCTTTAACTGTTTATCATAAAAACAGGGCAAATAAATATTTAATGGATTCAATTCAGGGGATTTAATTCTCCTGGCTGTAAAGCAGAATGAAGTGTTAAATGTGTAATCAGTTCAGGCTTTTAGTAGGGAACAGTGTGTCACAAACAGGCCAGCGAAAATTAAAAGTCTATATTTAGTAGTGTTTGCTAAGACCTTACACAAAAAATGACGGTTGAGTACGCACTTCGGTTTTGAAGTGACAGTTTGGTTTGTTTTTGGTACAATGGGGGAAACTAAAAATAAGACAGCTATTTGTCATAGTTTTTTAAATAAGACTTAGAAGATGGCCAACACGGTGGCTCAGTGGTTAGCACTGTCGCCTCACAGCTAGAAGGTTGCTGGTTCAAGTCCTGGCTGGGTCAGCTGGCATTTCTGTATGGAGTTTGCATGTTCTCCTCCGAGTGCTCTGGTTTCCCCCACAGTCCAAAGACATGAGGTTAAGGTGAATTGAATAAACTTAATTGGCCGTAGGTTATGTGTGTGAATAAGTGCACATGGGTGTTTCCCAGTACTGGGTTGCAGCTTAAAGGGCATCTGCTGTGTAAAATATATGCTGCATAAATTGGCGGTTCATTCTACTGTGGCGACCCCTGATGAGTAAAGGAACTAAGCTGAAAGGATAAACGAATGAAAAGATAACTTCGGGGACAACACATATACGTAATATACAAATACACTTCATTGAACATGTATACATGTACATATGCTATAAAATTGCAGGTTAACTATGTATATAATTCTAATATATTTAATAATTTTTATTTGATTTTAACTAACTGTAATTTGATT